TATTATTATATATATATATATATATATATATATATATATATATATATATAATAAGTATTATAGAACATGGAATACTTCTCATAAAATTTCATTCCAATCTAAAATTGATTGATGATTTAACCAATTTTAATCATTATCTATTGATATTTTAATAGAATAATATTTTTTATAGGATAAAATATATTCTAATGTAATTAAAATATGTTTTAAAGTCAAATTAAAATTTTTACATCTGAATATTTATTCTATTATTATTTCGGATGGTCATAATATAATATTCCGTACAAAATGCAATTTCATCGTAAAAAATTTCCACGGTGCATTTCTCGCGAAGACAAAAATAAATGTCTGACGTGAAACTAATTTGCCAGAAAAGTACCGTGACACTGCTGGATGTGGTCGTGTCAGATTAAAAGAGGCAGCAATAAAATAAAAAGTTAGACGATAAAGCTGGTCATGTAATTTTATTACGGTCATCGAGTTTAGCCGTCAACAATTGAAAATTCCTGTTACCATTGAAAAATTTAATGGATAATCATAACTATTATATTTATTATATTGGATCGATCATCGACTAATCCATGGAATCCATTTAATTTTGCCTCGAATTGATTTGATAAAATATCAAATATTATTACTAAACGATGAAAGAAAAATAAGAATAAATTGGCTAAAGTAATATTCGTATAAAATTTTGTAAACTCATTTTATATCATAGAAAAAAAATGATAAATTTATGAAATATTTAATTCGTTTTTTTAGTTATATTTAAAATAATAGTTAATTAAATATAAAACTTTTAAATAAAATGATTTTATAATCGATCAATCTCTAGAAAAAATATTTTAATTTGCGAATGATTGTGAATGATATGGAAATACGTTTGCGTTTGTAAATATTAAAGAAAAAATATTTGAAACAATGCTGCATAAGATGGTTGAAAACATCAGAACAATAGTTTCTGACGCTATGTATTACGTAAGTTGTTACCAGTTATGATACTGATTCTTTATGTTACAGGTAAAAATATAAGACTAAATTTGAGCAAATAGAAGTCTTTGTGACTCATCAGAGATGGATTTCTTTGTAGACGAAATAATTGTATTCTTCGAGAACATCTAATGAGTTCTCATAAATTCTATAAAAATACAATTTTCTTAATAAATGGTTATAATTTATTTTATAATATATGAAAATTATTATAAAGATATGTCTTTTATATTAAATTATATAAAATGAAGTTTATAAATTAAAAATTAAAAAATTTATTTCGTATATTAGTATTATTTATTTAATCTTTATTAATTTTTATTATCGATATAATAATATATTTAATTTATTAACTATATCTAACTTTATCTAATCATATAAATTTTAAATTTAATAAAATTTAGGAAAAAAAAGCAAGTGAACGACGTTACAATCTCTGATTAATCTTTTCGTGTTGATGTCGAGCACCGGGAGTAGCTTTCGCATATAATAACCTCGCTCCGCTCAACGAAAGAAGAAAAATGAACTTCATCGTAATGCAAATAAAAAGGAGATAATGCTAGAAAGAAAAATATCATGTTTATCATTGGGTATTTCGTTGGTCTTTTTGTTTTCGTGCAACAAAAAGAATATATGTATGCAAAAATCCGTAAAATTTGCAAACATTTTTTTAAAAAAAATCTTTAAAATAAAATCCATGCCGGATTACATGCAAATATAGGTAATGTAAAAGAAACAGCAAAAATAATGGAAAAATATCTTGCAGTAACAGGGAATTAAAGAAATAAAAATAATATAGCTAAGATAAAATATTATTAAAAAAATGAAACATAAAATATATTTCACTATCTTTTATTATAAATTTTTTTAATATTTAATTAACAAGAAAAATTTTCCATGTTTTATATTTTGCAATCTTTTTTTTTGCGTCCCAAAAAATGGAAATAGATAAATAATAGATAAAATTATAATATAATCAGAAAAAAAACATAAATTTCATGTTTTTCTACATAGTGTTTGTATTGGAGACGCCGACAGCGGTCCAGACTGGTACAAATATTTTCTCTGCGGCGTGAAAGGAGCTCTTGAAGTGATCCCAGAGGAATGTGTACCTTCGGGAATTTTGGCTGCAGTTTGGGGTAACATTCCTCCTAATTCAGGACTCTCGAGTTCTAGCGCGCTAGTTTCCGCCGCTGTCCTTTTGATTGTGCACGCTAGTCAGGTAAATACTCTTTAAAGATATTCAAATTTGCTATATTTTTATTGATTATTATTATACAAAAATTATTTTATCTCAATAGATTTATATAATTTTTATTGGGATTATTCAGATTTTATTTATTTAAATATATTTTGAATTGTAATAATTTTAAAAATATAAAGAATTATTTAAAACAATATTTAAAAAATTAATAGATTATTAGAATGTATGTTGTATGTATGTAACTCATATAAATTGAAATAAATTTCATTGAAATTTTACAGAGAAGAGCATATTAATATATAAGAAAGTTTCGAAATGAAAAAGAAATGATAGAAGAAAAGAAATTTTTGAGAAAAATATTTTTCAAGACGAAGATATATCTTCAAGTTTATTCCATCGAATAAGTATATAGTATTCCTTGCGGGCAAGAAAAGTTTTTACAATAGATAAAACATGCCAGAGATTATATGTTATTTTTTAAGAATTTTTATCCAAACAAGTTTATTTGAACTATCCTAAAATCGAATTATAACATTTTTTGCTTAAAAATTAAATCAAATATTTCAAAAACTTCGAAACATTTCTGCAGTATTATTACTATTAAAGTCAATCAATAAACAGTATTATCATTATTTTTTATCGTAGTTTGTAAAAAAAATAACAGAAGAAGACTTCGAAACGAGGAATATTTGGCGAATAAATGAGGAATATTGAGTTTATACCGAGTTTACTTCGAAGCCAAGAAATCGTATTTTGCAAAGCTACGTGATTAACAAGCTGCACGAGCTATCAGTATCATGAATTGGATATAGCTGTTTCATTATGATTAAATCACACATACATATATGTCAATACATATCTCGACGCATTGTTGCGGACAGTTCCGTTTGTAGAGAAATAATGGAAAAAGAGATCTCTCGAACCGCCTTTGCTCCGGAGATAAGTAAAATCTCATCGTTCTTTTCCCTCGTCGCCACGATGGAGCATCATTCCTTCTCCTTCCCCTTCCATTTTACCCTTTTATTTTCCTCTCTTTTTCTATCTCAAGGCTACAAGATCGATGAGAAAACTTCTCTAGTCCCTAATGTCTCTTTCAACGAAGTCACGATCTCGTGGCGCTTGCTAGTCTTCAAGATTATGCGTCGAATATCTTCGAATGAAATGTCCCAAGAATTTCTTATATTTTCTTATCCATTACTCGCTCTTCCGCCTCCACGATCGCATAAAATATGTTTATGATTGCTTTACATATGGCTATTGAAACTTTACGCTATAAAATTGATTCTATAATATTATCATTATATATATATTATCATTATATATATCCATAATAACATCATACATACGGGTACGCAATATTGTGAATTATATTGGTGAATGAGAATTTGGTCAGTAGAATAAATTATCAGTTGATAATAATATTGAATTGATAATAGATAAGAGAAATCAAACGTATCTATATTTTAATAAAAGTATTATATTATATATATATTGATCATATCGATAAAAATTTCAGATTCAGAAAAATTATTTGTTTAAAATAGGCTTAAAAAGTTTATTTGATAAAAGAATTTTATTTTCTTTTCAGACATTCGAAAATTGAAAGATTATCAATATCCCAAGATCTTCGACTCATTCCTTATTTCATGAAATTGAAATAATAAAAATTTATTCATAAACTTATAACTTATAACTCTCCATATCAAAATAATTATTAAAAATAAAGTGACTTTCACTTTCCTATTTATTTTTTTCTTATTTTAACATTTTTTAATTGTTCAAATTTGACTTAAAGATTACTATTAACTTAAAAATATTTAACAATTTATCATGCAAATTTCAATCTGCTAAAATGGAATAAATTTGCTTTTCTAGATGACGCATTCCTAGATCTTTCTGTAGTAATTATCGAGTTTTCTTAGAGTAAATATTTCCAAAGTTGAAAGATATTTAATACAATGAATTACAAAAAAAATATTATAATAAGAAAAATAATGACAATGAAATTTAGATTGAACTGGAATTTCTAATCAATGAAATCGTTTCTGTTACAGTATCAATTATCGAAACGTGAATTGGCTACCATTAGTGCTAACGCTGAAAGATATATTGGCACCCAAGGTGGTGGAATGGATCAAGCGATCGCATTCCTTGGAAAAGCAGGTAATTCTTCGTTTTCAAAAGAAACAATTGATAGTTTAATCATATTATATAATATATGAATATGAATATGTTTATGGTGATGCTCGTTAATACTCATGAAGGTTCTGCAATGCTAATCGAATTCAACCCCTTGCGTGGTACCGATGTCATGTTACCGGAAACCGCAGTATTCGTAATAGCGCACAGCCAAGCTTGTCATAACAAAGCTTCCACAACAGATTATAATTTAAGAGTTGCAGAATGTCGCTTAGCTGCACAGGTAATCTGCATTCTTTATAATTATGAATTTAAATTTATTTATTGAATTATTTACTTGCTAAAGTAATTCGTATACGAATATAAATATTTACAATAAATTGAATAATTAAATTGAGATATATTATTATTTGCGAATCAAATATAGAAAATGAATAATATTTGATGTTAAAATATAATGAAAGAGTGTAAAGGAATTGTAGAAGTAGATTTGAAAACGCATTTGATTTATTTGTTGGTTTTGAATAACATGAACATTTGAATATTTATTCAATATATCTTCAAAGAGATTAATGAGATTTTTTTATCATATTTTACAATTATTAAACAATGATATGCTCGTGTAGATAAAAATTTATAAAATTTTTGTTTTCTCTATAATTTTATTTTCAAAAAATTAATTCGTAATATTTTAATACTTTTTAAACCATGACTTCTTTCTAAGAATAATTGATTTATTCATAGATGATAGCAAAGAAAAGAAATAAACCTTGGCAACATATACAAAGACTAATCGATATCCAAGAGAGTCTTAATATGAGCTTAGACGAAATGGTTTCAGTTATAACAACCGACCTTCATGAAGAACCATATACCCTGAGCGAGGTATGCAGTTGACGTAACATGCAGTCGATGCATATAATATCGAATAATAACTGTTCGAATGCTATTATTGAAAAAAAAATATATCCATTGTTGAAAAAGAGTATTATAAATATAAGATATTGTATCAATTGATTTTTGTTTATCTATGATTTTATCCATGATAAGACATAATTCATTATCAGTAGCTATATTATTTTTTTCAGATTAGCAAGAACCTTGACACAACGAATGAAAAACTTCGTGAAATATCATTATTACAAACTTTTAGCAATGCGCAAATTTTCAAATTGAAACAACGTGCTCTCCATGTATATCAAGGTAATAATAATTTATGAAAACATTGAAACACAAATCATATAAATTATTTTTTCCTTATATCTCTAGCAAACTTTCCATACATTAATTCTCAGAAAAATTTTTAATAAAATTTATTTGCATTGCATTATTTTTTTCAGAAATGTTCTCGTTTTAATCATTTTTTTGAACAGAATAATTCATTTATACAAATTATGCTAATATCAAAAAAATTGTACATGAGAAAATTTTTAATATCAGATAATAATTCGCGAAATCTCTAAGAACAAATATTGAAAATAAACTATTCTATCATTATATCTGATCAAAAAATTTTTAATCTAATTAAAAGAAAAAAGATCGTATATCAATCATTCGTATGCATTCCTTCATAAAGTAATAAATTTTTGATTGTAATCATTTGTTCGCAACCAATCATGCTCGACTCAAGCTATAGAATTTATTGACTTAGAAATATAGATTTAGAAAATGACAAGAATTCTTCAAAAGCTTCCATTCAAATTTTTTTATCTTAACTTTTATTATATTGTTCAATGATTGTTGTTAGATTTTGTTAGTAAAGAGATAATTTCCTTTAGAATATCAGTAAATAAATACGAAATGATAAAGAATCTTAACACACTTAATATGATATATACATAGATATTTGAAAAGAATTACGCTTCTTTCTTGTCAAAAATTTCCATTAAAATCGTGCGAAAGTTTAATTAGATGTTATATAATTAATCTCGAATAACAGTCTTCAGCGAACTACTTAAAACAATTAAATTTCATACATTCAGTTTCATGGAAATATAATTAATGTCTGCATTCAGTGTTATACAATATTAATATATTCATAGAACAATTTTAAAAATTGATTCTAGAGACTAAAACAAAAAGTTTATATATAAAAAATTAAAATTTATATATTAAATTATTCTAATTATAAGCAATTTAAATTAAATAAAGCAAAGCAAAAACAAAGCAACACTATAATATGACAAAGATAAAGCTCTCTCATTCTATCTCTGTTTCACTTCATTTAATGCAATTTTCAATTGATTATATCTATTATATTTATATTATATTAATTATATAAATAAAATATTTATATTATATAAATTGCATTTTATATCAATTTTATATCAATTACATTTTTTACGTTTGTTTTGGCTTTTAAAATTGGCTCTTCAAATGTATCTTACGAATATATTAACATCTTATATCAATGTTATTCAATATGCTGTTTTGCGTTAATATCCACAGACTATGAAATTAGCTTTAGATTTTGGGCATACATAATTTATAAGCAAGAATGTTCTGTTACCCATCTCTCTGCCCTTTTATTAAATAGAACTATATTACTATTTTCCTTAAACGATATATACACGAAGATGTGCATGTATATCCTATTAGAAAAAGCAAGAAAAAAATATGAGAAGATGAACTCCGGATTTCTATCTAGCAATTTAAAGTTCTATATCTATATTCAAAGTGCTCTATCCAATTCTTCATCACTTTATTCCTATTATCTTTTATATTATCATCAAGTGTGTTCATTATTAATACTTTTATTAAATATCAATAGATTGAATGATCATACAATTCCATATATATTTTAGAGGCGGCTAGAGTGCTCGAATTCCAGCATATTAGTGAGAAAAATGCAATTGTGGAAGAGGAGAAGCTGAGACAACTAGGCAATTTGATGTCTAACAGCCATTCCAGTATGCACAAACTATACGAGTGCAGTCATCCTAGTGTCAATTTACTCGTTGACAAAGCTATGGCTTGCGGTGCTCTTGGTGCAAGACTCACGGGAGCTGGGTAAGTGAAACTCGGGACTTGGATAGCAGTCGTGTCACGTTGTCCACTATTGTAAATTAAATTTATATGTATAGAAGAATAAATATAATATATCTTATTCGTATTCGTGACAGATGATCAAAGCGAATAAAAATGAATTTAAAAAAATGTCTTGAAGTTTCATGTTCTGCAATTTAAGAATGTGTATTTAAATAGAAATAGATTCTATCATTTTACTGATATATATATATATATATATATAATCATATAAAATAGATTGAAAATTAGATAAATAATTGTAATTAAAAAAATTATGAATCTGCAGATTATTTATTATAAATTATTATATATAATTATTTCTTTATTATAAATATATATATTTATATAATTATTTCTGTCTCTTTGATCATCTTGAAACTAACACTTTCCAATCAATTTCATAATCAATTCTATCTTTTCCTAAATATATTTTTTTTGTTAAATTCTTGATATATTTTAATCACTCTATTAATAATAAACTTTTTTTATAAAATCAGAATTTTATCATATTTCTTTAATGGAAATAAAAATATCACGTAATTAAAAGTAATAATAAATAATTTAATAAGAAAAAATGGATCTAAGTCTTCGAATTCTATTCAAAAAGATTAATTGTTTTATAATGAAAATTCAATGAATTTCATTGCATCTTAAATGATTTCAAAAGATTACTTCTTTACTCAGAATGAAAAAAAAACTCTTTTTCGTGTATATTTTACATCAAATGTTTTTTTCAATATTTTTTTTCAGTATCTTTATTTAAAGAATAGAAAAAAAATTGTAACATCTTCTTCGAAAAACAGATCGATTCATGGGTGTGTTTTAATTGCCAGTGTTATTTATCGAAGAAATTATTTTTATAACACGATAGCATGCAACTCAAGTAAGAGCTAATGTAACATTATGGAAACTCTAATGTTAATGAAAATGTTTCCAATATATAAAATCATTCATTATTGAAAGCGTCACACCTGTTAATGTTTCATGTGATTGTAATATTGCAATTTCATATTTAGCGTCAGTTTCATCGAATAAATTTCAACATACATGGCAAAATTAATGAAATAATATATTCGTGTGATTTCATTTTACGTAGATGGGGTGGCTGCATAGTGGCCATCATAACGAAAGACAAGGTTTCTCAATTTGTGGATACACTGAAAAAGGAACTCAGTCTATGTGGGATAAAGGATGGATTCAAACTCGACGATCTGGTTTTTCCAACGGAACCGAACCAGGGTGCTGCAATTTATATGACCTAGTTTTTATTCTCCATCTGCTTCCTGCCTTCTTCTTGCATTTTATAAATTGTTGACCAATTAATTTATCAAAAGGTCTCTTAAATATCTATACATAATGATATAGATGGTACATATGATTATGTGTATATAAATATATATATAAGGAATGAATTTGAAATCATTTCTAATAAAGAGGCTATTCGATTAATTTATGTGTAAATGTTAAACGTAAGTGTTAGAATTTTTCTACAATATTACATAAATTATATGTAATAAAATTATTCAAAATATTTTTTTTATATATTTAAATTTATTTTTTATGAGAGCAATACTTGCTATTTATATTATGATTTATGATATATTTTTCATTGATTAATGGTATTAATATATTAATTTATGTAACGTAATCTACATTTTTATGATAAATATATAATATCATGCTATTTTGTAACTTTAAAAACTTTAAAAAATAACATGATAAATATGATAAAATAAATCGAATATTATTTAAATATTCGAATGTTCTTAAAATTTTTAAAGAATAAATCCAATTTTCTTAATAATTTAAAAATAAATTTTAAAATAATATATTATTTCTTTTTGTAGAATTTTATACTCTCTTTTCTAGTTCCTTATAATGAAATGCATTTGGAGTGATAACGTAAGAAAAGATATGAATGAGAGAGAAAATTAAGAATTTAATAGGCTTCTGTAAAAGCTTCTCTATTTTTAAGAACTGATCTCGCTAGTTGAAAGGTTACATAATCACTAACAATCAACATTGAAATTACATAGCAAATGGGAAATCTACGTCAGCAGTTTCTGGAACATTATCAAAGTTTATTTCGAAGGGATAAAGGGGTGGATAAATGGAATTTGTCAGGGAAAATTTCCATTCGACCTAGATCCGTTTAAGGGATTTCTTATGTATGTGATTTTGAGGATTCTATCATTGACATGGAAATAATAAAAAAAGAGCATTGAGCAAAGAAATCACGCGTAAATAATTGCGCATTCGTTCAAATTTCTTCATGACACATGGTTTGTTTTAAAAATAAAAAACGTCCTATTAAAATGATTTATTAAACTTAAAAATTTATAAAATCAATTTAGAAATATTCTTCATTAAATAATATTTAAATTTTTCATGGAATATTTAATGATTTATAAATTGACTTTTTTCTTCTTAGGTGGAATAGCTTTGAAGATATTTAAGAATATAAAAAGAATAAAATTGAAAAAAATATATATATAAGAACATTTTTCATGGGTTAGGTCAGCGTACTCGACAGTCTAAGATCCGACATTGATATTGATTTTCTACTACCAGTCTATGCTAATAAATTTCTCGATAAGAGAAAGAACAACCAGCCACCGAAAAACTCGTTTCACCTTTGAAATCGGTTGACTGCTTCATTGATTTAATCTTACCATATGGAATGAAAGATCAAATTTAATTTAAGATTGATTTGTATTTTTTTCTTTCACGAAATTCTAGTTATTTAATTCTTAATTAATTTTATTTAACTTTTTACATTTAGTTTTATTTATTTTTATCCTTATATTTTTAATTTAATATAAGAATATGTCTCAAACATAATTCAGAATTTACAATTTTAGAGAGTCAAATTATATTTAACTTTCAACTTATCAAATTCTCTTCATTACTTTAATATGTTGCTTTTGCAATCAAGCATGAAATAACTCATGAATTTCACATTAAACATCAACGGTCGTAAAATATTTCAGATAACTAGCTTAAATTTTAATGTATGATATATATATATATAATATGTGCAACAACATTTTTAGGAACATAAAAATCCAAATGGTCTGGATTTCAAAGATCCAAAATATAATCTTAAAACTTGTTTTGTTATACAAAATCTATTTTTGTTATAAGCCGACTCTTTTAATTCTGTTTTAATATAAATTTAATAAGACATTTCTCCACTATTGTTTCAATTTCCATTGTTAAATGCATTTAATTTTCTTGTCGATAGTATATCCTCCGTGGAACAAAATGAAATTTGTTTCAGTTTGACATCGTTTTGAAATAAGGCAATGACGATACACTTTGTTCTCGGATCCAGAACTTCCTGGTGGACGAACATCAGCTTAGGCAAGGAAATTTCTCAAGTCCTGTAAACTGTGGTAAACCATGTGAAACAAGTTACGTATTAACAGAGAAGGTAAAATTGGTAAGCCGAGGAAATACGTGATGTCGAAAGTTTAAATTCCTGAGAAATCCAGAAATTTATTTACGTTACAGTTATATGACTAATTTGCCGATGAATATTTCTCTTCTCATTATAATAAGTATTATGTAAGTCTTCACGAGATAGTGATATTCTATATTTTATATATATTTTATTTTCTATTATATATTTTTTATATTATTTCATAAATATTTCTAACTATAGTTTCAGATTCTGATCTTTTCAAATATCAATTTGCTTGGTGTTCAAGCATATAAATTTTAATGCTTGAATTCTGAGTATGATTTTGATTCATTTATTTACTATTTACCATTAAGAGATCAATAAATAATGTATTTATGATAGTAATCTATAAGTATATATATCATATATGTAAATTAGTAAAGATTATATATATATATATGTGTTTGAATTTAAATTTACTTGAATAATGTCTGATCTGAATCAATAGTGACAAATAATTTGTTACTATATAAGTTTCTTTGAATAACATTCTACTTTGAATAACATCTTCCTAGGATACACTCCCTACTGTGATAAAATTATGAGCTTGAAAAATTTCTACATTCCAGAAAAACAATTCTTCAAACTCAAGAGTAATTCTTGAGTTAATTCTTCTAATGGAAAATTTCTTATGGAAAAAAAGAATCGTTGCAATGAGGAATAATATCAATATAAAAATATTTAAATAAGAATTTCAACAAGACGAAAACAATGCAGTAACATCTAAAAACAAATTTTAATAATAAAAAAAATTTAAGGAATTAAGAAAATTTTTATGTGAGAATATCGAAAAAGATGCTGAAACATAAGAAAATATCAAATTTTTACAAATATTATATTTATTCCATAATCTGAATAAGAAAGCTTATTTATCCCATATAAATGATATGTTAGGATAATATCTACTCCATAACAAGTCAAGAGGGAATCAGACCTTTTTATATTACACATATAGCCTAAAATTCACTCAACGTACAAATGTCAATCAAAATGAAAATGTTTATTTTTGGAAATATCAATCGCTCTAATTATTATTCCACTTTTGATTATTTTATCTTTAAAAGAGAAAATTATCAATCTTGATATAATTAGAAAATAATTTAATATGAATTTTTAAATAAGAATATAATATAATATATATTCATCATTAAATGGAACTGAAGATTTAGTTTTAATTAATGAATACTTCATTTTGAATTGTATGAAGTTTCAACAAAAAAACATTGAACAAAACATATCTTTATAAAAAAAATATATGAAACAGCGTTTCCTTTTTTAATAAAATAATGAAACGTATTTATGTCAAACTAAAACTAAAACTGTACTATGAAAGATTGCATTTTATATGTTTTTTGTTTATTTTCCAAAATATTTGATAAATAAAAATTCATATCTAAATATCTATTAACTGCAATAACAATAATTTTACATATTCTTATTTCTAAAATTCAGGAAATTATTATATTTACTTATTATGCTTGATAATACAAAATTTTATTAGTATAAATTCTTTATTAATGCGTGTTTAAAATTAGAATTTAATATAATGAAACACATCAAGTGTAAAATCACCAATTTTCACTTGTGCTACTTCTATTATCACAATTTATAACATATTCATGCGATGGAAAACACTATTACCTATTACTATAGTAAGATATCTTTTCTTTGGGAAATAAATTCTCCTTTTCGTTGTCAATACACATGAAATAAATTTTGTGAAACAGATTTTGCTGTCCACAAGTATTCTAATTTATACTGAGGAACTCTTGAAACATTTTCTATCTATTATAATTACAGAAAATGAAGAAATAAATGTAGTACAGGATATTACGAATTCTATTATAAATGGTAGACAATCCAGAATATTAACTGTTGTTAGTTATTTTAAATGGAATCACCAGCTAAATATGAGCGTCATAATCTAGATCACTTTGTAAGCATGAAAACTTTACGATTTGAGCATAAAATTGTGATCGTCGTTCATAATAAGACGTAATCATGAATTTTAAAACAAAAATAATTATAATATATATATAAAAAATAGGATAGGTAGATTGTTTGTTACAGATTAATTTTTTAACTTGGATCGAATTTATAATTGAAATAATTAAACATTTGTGACATGCGAAATGACGTAATCTGTTAAATATGCATAAGATAAAATACAGTTAAACTTTGCTTAAAACGAGGTTTTGCAAAACATTGAATCGATCGTTTTCTTTTGCTTATACAAAATGACAACTTTCCTATGAAAATTTTTCAGAAAGCAAATTTGCAAAAAATTTCTTCTTTTTCTTGTATACAACTGAAAAAGAAGCATTATTTCGTTTCCGTTCCAATGATTCATGAAAGTTTACGATTGTCGAAAGAAAAGATAATACTCTGTAACTTTGTACATGTATACATTCATATATTTTAAAAGAAACTTCAAACATGGTCAATATATCATATGATTTGCTTGAACTTTTTTGAAACCAGTTCAAGTATTTTATACTTTAAAATTCTTTCTCTTATTTTATATTTTTCACATATTTTTTTTCTGTCTAAGTGATATTATAGATAATATTAAACTTTACATGTTTAAATTATTAACAAAAGTAAATCTTTGTCCATTCCAACAAACATATTATATATATATATATAAACTCGAAACGCGCCATTATCGCACAATATTAATCAAATTCGTAACTTAAAAACTTTTTTTATTAATATTCAATTAATTTTTATGCATATTCTCAAGAGTAAAATCCTATTTTTTTTTTTAAATATAACTCTGTATTTTTATTATGATTATTCTGTATATACATCAATATGAATTATTATTTAGTTTTTTAGAAAAAATACAAATTGGTCAAAGATATCGAATACGCATGCGCAAATAGTGTTTTCGCGCCGTAACATCGTAAAGGCCGGCAGTTAGAATCGAACCTCTGCACGTGCCGGTCCTTTTTATCATTTTACAATAGAGGAAAAATGTTTTGGT